TGCACCCCGGGGACGCGGCAGGTCACTGACCACCCAAAGCAGCTCCCAGCCCTTGGCACCCAAGTCCCAAGGTGACGCGGGGCGCTGGGGGAGCTTGGTGCCGGCTGGCGCACTGCTCCGCTGTCCCGGGCTGCGGCAGGGTCTCTCCGGACACACTCACGCTGCCACTGTCAGGGGAGGAGGACGGCACGGGGTTTAAGGCACAGCGCAGTCGGTGCCGCTCAGGAGGGGATGGGTTGCAGCATGCCTGGTGCGTGACGGCAGCGGGATGCCGGCACTCGCACGGGTGCTGCCGCTTCCTCAAGGGAGCAGGGCTCATTCCCACCCGGGCTCCGCAGCGGCCGGCCGCGCCAGGCACCGGCCCCGCAGCGCAGCCTCGTGGCAGAGCGCCCCGCGAGCTGTGGCTCCCGCATCCGCTCCGCAGCACCGCGTCCCACGCACAGCAGGATGCTCGAGCGCCGCCCAGGCTTCGCCCAGCAGCCAGTGTCCCCCCGACCAACCCGGGGCGAAACTGCGTCCCTCTTTTGATGCCTTCGCACCAGGAGAGCGAGTAGGTGCCAGCTGCRCCCCGCACCTGCAGAGCTGAGTGCCCCGCCAACAGGCTGCAAGCTGCTTGCAGGTTTATTCTTCTTGCCAAGCCTAATCATACTTTTTCAATATTTACAGTGAAGCGCTTATTTACTGCAGCTCTTCATGGGGAGGTCACAATGTTAAAATCCATCTGTCAGGCACGGTTAAAAATAAAGTAGGAATAAGGCCTCAAGGCAGCGCTGTTCAGAAGCTCAGGGGTACGAAGGATGCAATGCAAAGAGAAGGAAGCTCTTGTACATCACTGCTGACCCAAAATAGCTTTATCTCCCCATTCAGCACACAATGAACTTCCCGATGTGCATGTGTCACCATGCCAGCCCGCGGGAGGTTATGAGTTCAGCTGCTACAAACACGAAGGTTTTGTGCGACAGGAGCAATATTAATCCTCCTCTTTTGCTGGTGGATGTTGGCAGATAACAACAGCGCCCTGGATGTTAGAGCTGCAAATCCACCAATAACCTGGAAAGAGAGGCTGCACACAGCAAGATAACACTCTGCACCGATGCTACCCGCAGCTGCGGGGGCAGCCCGGGGCCGGGCGCGCTTGGCCGCGTCCTGGGTCAAGTTGCCCTCTGTCCACAGCCAGGCCGTCAATTCAGACGCTCACCCAGCGCTGCCACGCGTTGTCTCAAATCTCGGCCATGAGCCATCTTTGCTCCGACCAAATGCTGCAGTCCTCAACAGGCGGGTGAACGTGCCCCTTACACACAACACGGCCCTGCACTGTCCAGAGTCAGTCCTAAGAACTATGAAATTCAAGTTGTCTTTCCAAGAGCATTTGCTAACAGCTTGTTATTTCCTGCCAGCAAGCTCAGGGAACACAAAAGGTATTAGAAGAATTAACCAGTATTTAGAGAAAACACCTAAAGAACCTCAGGGAAGCTGCTCTGGCCCTGTGGGCAGTGCCTGGATGCTCCCCAGTGTCGCAAACCTCCTGCTCCGGAGCAGCCGTTTGCCTTGGGGAGCTCTAGTGTAAGGAAATAACGGACACGGAAATGGGATACAACATCCTTTGCTGCTCTTATTTCCTCCCCCTGCTCATACAGGGGGTGGTTTCCCTGGACGGTGAGAGGCCACCAGAACAAATGCATTTCAGTGAGTGATTAAACAACCCTCATTAAATCACTGCAGAGATTTCCACCATCACTGCAAACTCACGGTCTCTGCAAAACTAGGCGGCACAAGTGATATTCTCAAGGTGCAGAGAATGACTACATTAAAGTGGCTCCTGATTTCAAAGATACCTATTACCGGGACAGAGCGAGCTCACTCCAGATTAAAAAAAGCAAACAGGTCCAGGAAAGCAGGTGGATACATGCAATGAAAAGACTGACTTATTCTTGGAAAAGCAGATCGTACCATAAACCTTGCAAGCCAACAACGCTTTGTTGCTGTGCTGAGCAAGCCCAACAAGCGGAGAGAACAGCCGTGCTCGCCGCTCCGGCTCGGCCAAACCTCCCTTCTCAAACCTCGGCACTTGCAGCGCTCTGCACYGCGTTGCTGCGCGGCCACCCCAGCGCCCTTTCCCATGTCCCTGCCTATCGTGTGAGTACATTAAATGCATCTATTTATACATTTTTGCGTGGTTTGGTGCCATAAGAGATAAAAATGAATCAAACAGCTATTAATAGATACTTTGCTAAGTTATATTTAGTCCTTTTAGCTTGTTTTCTTTTTCTCCCTTCTTGCCAAAAGTAACACAAAGCTAAAGGATGATTTTTGAAAGCATCTACAGCTGCTCRAAGACAATGTTGCTGTTTGAAAAGACTGAAAATGTTCTTTAACACGAAGAGATGAGTAGACAATGAAGCAAAAGAACTAATACCTTTCCCAAACTCTCAAGATTTCAGCTATACTGAAGCTAAAAATGCACAGGTACTGGTGGTAGCCAGCCTGGGATCCTGCCAGAGCTGCCATGGTGCCAGGCCCGGCAGCGCAGGCTAGGATCACCTGCCGCTGGCAGCTTCGCAAGGACGCGGCAGAACCGAGATGTGAGCCCTTCTGCAGGGCACTGGGCCACAGCAGGCATGGCCGGGCTGCAACAGCGGCCAGGGCTCAGCRCTCACCTGCATCAGGACTTGGAGGAGAACAGTGGCTGCGTTCTCGGGTCCCTGCTTTGTGGTCGGCTTCGGCAGCCACCGCAGCCGCTAAGTGTCAGCCTCAGGCCAGGCGCACCCAGCTCCATCTGTGCCCGCTGCTCCCTGGGCACCACGCTGACCTCGAAGCCTGCCCAAACCAACGGCCAGGAGCAGCAGGGCCAGGTCACCGCACTGCAAAAGCCACACCATTTGCCAGCAAGAACGAGACGACAAGCGACACCGCACTGCCAACAGAGCTGGCACTGAGTCCTGCAGGTCTTGGTGGAGGCTGGGACTTGTTCTGCCCACGGTCACCCACGCAGTCACACTGGTAGCAAGTTCCCTTCTCAGAGGAATCATTTAAGACTGATCTTGGGAAAAGGAGACGAGCTCAATGTGCCCTCAGAAAATGCTAGGGTGAAAAAACCATCAATATACCCAAAATCCCAAAACACGGACCCCAGCAGACTTTCTTCTGCTATTTCCCAGTCCACATACTAAGGCATAAAAAGAAAAACACTCTCCTTTACCTTCAACAATGAAAAAAAATCCTCTGAAATAACAACCAAATTCCTTGCAGGTCTCTTGCAGAGCACACTCCTATGTGCAACCAAGTGATGTATTTAAAAGGTTACTGCAGGAATATGGTTCACAGCAGTCTATAGCAGTGAATAAATATCACGTTTACATATCCATTATAACAGAACTATGTTGCACTCCCATTACTTCATGTTGGTTTGCCATCTGGAAGCTAAACAAGCTGTGTAGTAAAAAAAGAGAACTCAATTTTGCATTTACCGAAGTGATCCATGCGAGTTTCAGTCTACAGCCGATGCCGGCACAGCCGTAGCAGGATCCGCGCGCCATGAGTGAGCGGCAGCGCGCGAGCGTCTCCCAGCCCCGCACGCGCCGACCCGCCGCGGAGCCCCTCCGAGAAGGGCTTTCCGCAGTGATACCATCCACAAACTAGCCCCGAGCTACGAACACCTTTGGGAGAACCTCATCGCGCCRCCCATGGCGGCACCACATGCAGAACTGAGCACACACAGGTCGGAGCGTGGCCACGCTCTGCTTGTTTTATATAGCATTTTTATCCTGGTATCAGGCTGGTGTATCACTTGCTATACTGTTTTTCCCAAAGCATCTAGAGAATGTGACACTTTCCTCCTACAAGGGCTGCAGTCCCTATTAACAGGCTCCTGCTCCTGCAGTGCCGGCTCCAGGGCGAGGTGCCGGCTCTGGYGAGTTCACTACTGCTCCACCTTTCCCACCTTAACACACATCCTTAGCCTTATGACTACACTAAATAGCGTAATATTTAGGGTATTCTGCTGACCCTCAGCAGTTAACAGAATAATCTGGTGCAACCTATTTACACCTGTTGCTTGCTTTGCTCCCTTTCTAAATCACTTCTTCAGGAGGCTGTTCTAAAGCTTTGTGACTAAACAAGCCTCTAATTGCCCAACCTCTCCCCAAACAAGCTCATTCTCTAGTTATACAGTCTTACCCCAACATCAAAGGCTTCTTGGACATCCTTTCCAGGAGACCTGCAATTTTACGTGCCAGGTATTCCGGAGGCCTGGCCGCTCACCGCCGCAGTCCGGAGCCGCGCTGTTGGAGACTGGTCTCTACGCTGCCAGGGGGCCTCCCACGTCTCCATCTGCCAAGGGCACCTTGGCAGTGCTGCGTCTCCTCCTCGAAACCACGTATAACTTCTCTAGCACATCAGCCCTGCTCCTCTCCTGGCATAGACAAGAYGCAGAATTAGCAGCAGCTGTAACACATGAAGACAGCCACAGAGCCACTGTATTGTCAGAGTAATTCCAGCAAATGTCTCATTCCGCAAAATCGTTGGCCTGGCACATTATGGTAGGCAGTCACAAAACAAGAGAAGCAAAATACCTTCCCAAACCCTAGTAAGTGATGAGGTCCTTATGAAGTACCTGTTACACTGCTTGACCTCGTTAAGACCAAGATCTCCACTAGGATTCAAGCACAGGTTGAGCTCATCAACACCAAAGCAGATCCTTACAGGACTTCCAGACTTCTCGGACAGCCCAATAAAACTATATTCTATGTCTTTAGAAAACCACAAATACTAAGACCTAAGACAAGAGACAGAACATTTTATGATCAAATTTATTTAATTAAATTTGACTGTTTTACTGTAGGTCACACCAGAGACTGCCAAAGTAAACTAAACATTTTACATTCACTACAAGATTCTCTCAAATTTTCACAACTAGTCGAAAGACATAAACATGTAGGGTCCCTTTCCCTCAGTTTGCATTAGGACTTGCACCAATGACAGCGGGACTTACATTCCAGCACTGAGAGGAGAATCGAGCCCTTAGGTTCCAGGCTTGCAACAGCCCTCCTGGTAGCAAATAGTTTTAAAATCATGTGTCTGTGCACACATGTGAGTATGTATATTTACAAAAACAACCGTCTGATGGTACAGAGAACAAATACCCATTTAAACTGCTAATCCCAACAGGAAAAAGATTAACTTTGCAGCGTGGGAGGGAAGAGGTTGAAGTTGCACAGGAGAGATGTATGAACCCCGTCCTGGCCCTGGCAGACCCAGCAGGGCCCGGCCACGCAGGCAGGCGGCAGACCTGGTCCTGCTGTCCTTGATGGCCAGGAACATTAGTCACTGAAATGGACACCCTTTTGTAAGTGAACTATGTGAACCATGACTCCAATATGCTTGGATGGATGTGGGATTAGGAAGGAGTAGGATGTTTAAGCAATGCTTGCCTTAGAGAGGCTTCTGGGATGCTGGGAGGAAACTAGGCATTGAGATTGAGAGACTTTGATCTAACTAGTGTTTCTAAAATAATTTGTTTCTGCTCTAGCAGGCTTTTTGATAATATACATCTATGATATGCTCTATTYGAATATTTTCTTAAAAAATGCTGAAAACTTTTTTCCTATTTGAGAGTTATCTACAAGAGGTCTTCATAATATTATCTTTCTTTTTATGTGTCTAGTCCTAACAAATATCAGAGAAACATGTCAGATGCTACAATTTAAACTTTCATCATATCTGAAAGTATACATCTCTTTTAAAGTGTATTTTCAACATGAAAAGAGCTAAAATCACAATTATATTCCATTGCGTAATGTGTGTGAAATCAAGACCATTTGCATAGTTTCCAAACTGAAACTTCGGAAAATAGCCATTTCATTAACAGGAAATACTATTTTACAGATGGGCTCTCCCTTCACACTTCTTCGGCATGGCCTAATACATACTTGAGAGTCCGTAAGTATTGTCAGTTTCTTCATCTAAAAGCTAACTTCTGGAAAATTTCAGATTACAATTATTTTATGAATCACAAGCCATTTTCCTTAATCTTGCCAATTTTAATGAAGAAAAACATCAGCATTTCAATGTACAAAAGTCCAATAAAATGTGATCTTTTTTAAAATTAGTGAATGGGTACCTAGTGAATTGGGTCAAACTCATTCAGTAACAAAAGTCCTCCAATTTCCACTAATAGAAAAAAAATGTTTTGTCTATAGGATAATGACAATCCAGAAATAAATAGCTATAAATACATTCATTGTTCCTATTCCAAAAATAATCACATAGGGAAGACACAAAATTGAAATTATTTGAATGTTTCTTTACAATGAGATATGGGCAAGTTACAACAGAGTGACTCAAGGCAGGAAAAGAACAAGTAGGGAATAAACTGGTCCAGTATTGACATTCATGAAACATACCAGTTAGCATAATTCTGCAGTTAATTCATCCTTAAAATGACACTACTCAGTTGATTTTTTTATTTGCTTCAGGTATACATAATGAAAGCAGTTTCCTTTGCATCTTTGCTGAGGATAGGTATAGTACCCTGGAGACACTGTAACAACCCCGTTCAGTATGCATGTGCGTATATATAATTATATACAAATAATCATGCATCCACACACACATTTGTATATCAACACTGCATGTGATGGTTAAATCCATCATCATTCATCATTGGCAGCACTTGTTCCTCTCACTTGGCCTTGATTACGTAACTGTGGGAAAAGAAAATACACAATTAAGTATTAACAGTTATTTCAAGAATTAAATTCCAAACAGGTGATTCCATTAATTTCCAAGAAAAATAGGGCAGGGCAGTCAAAACATCACCAACACTGAGCAATGTCATGCCAAAGCAGTGCAAGTTCTGTAAGGAAGCTGTAATTTGGGACCAGCCTCCTCACTGAGGGACAGCAGCTCCGGTCCTTCAAGATCTTCACACAGATCAGCAGGAGTGGAAACCTGCTGTGACTGGGAGATCCCACCTGTGGTGTTAAAATGGTCACAGTGGAAACGCCAGCATTGAAGTATTGAACACAAATACTTAAAAAGTCTCCAACTTTTGGACAAACTGCTTCCTGCAGGAACAATTTTAACACAATTTAGTATTTATACTAAATAAATTTCTGGGGTGAATTTTTTAAAAATTAACACGCTTTGAAGATATCAGTCCAGAGTTTCTCTATCTTATGTGGACAAATCTAGACTGAGCGAGCAGCAAAATGACACTCACTGCCTTTTCTGATTTGTCCCCAGAAAAGAACTTGCAGAACTTGTTTCAGAGCTCAGTGCGAGCAGAGTGACAACGACCAGGGCATGCATTTGGGCTCTCTGCACTAGGTAAGCACCAAAGAAGGGGGTACAGGGCTGACAGGTAACGCAGTCTGCAACTGGACCGAGCATCTGCACAGTCACCACAGTGCCGTTTTGTGGTGAAGGTCTCTTGTGCACCTGGGCCATAAAGGATGATGCCCAATTTTTGATCACATCAAGGTTATCACACAGGAGGCAGTCAGGTCCCAAAGTGTTACCTGGATATACACCCATTTAGATGCTTACTACCACCAACTCCCACCATTAACACATTATCAGCTTTTGTCCTTTTTCATCCAGCGGTTCACTTACACAGCTTGATTTGCCTCAGAACCTACAGAGAACTCCTCTAGACGTCAGCAGCCAATGTGCCTCGAACGGAACCCTTCTTACGCATCTAAACGTAAAATAAAACTGTGAGCTACCAAGTAAAGAACCTGTCTTGCTGTTGGTTAGTGAGAGAGAAGTAACGAGCCACATGAGCTTTCTCCAGGCAACAGCAACCAGGAACCAGCCCCAGCTGAAGTTCTGTGGAGACTGGACAGACACAGCATTTTTCACCCATACAGCAGCTGTAAATGATGCTTCTCAGATTAAAAGCACCTGTTGCTTTAGTGCTACGCCAGCTTCGTGAAACATCCCCAGAGCATTTCCACTGCTGTAAAGGCAGGTGACCGTGCTTGGCAGGTGCTTCTCCACCACACCCCGGCCAGCTGATGTGTATTTAATGAGGCGAGGCGCAGGTGCTCCTCATCAACATGGCCAGATGCATAAACCATCAGGTGAAAGATAAAGAAAAACATAAGAAAAGAATGTGCTGGGAGAGGGAAACTCTAGAAGAACACTTATGAGAATTCAGGGAGTAATGAAAAAGTAACAAAAGCAGAAATCCTTACAGGAAAAATTGACCGAAGATGAAGAACAGGATTAACAAAAGAACTGAAATGTGTACAGAATCTGGAGATTAGTTCAAACCAGGAAGAAAGGATTTTAATGAGAAAGAGAATAGTAACAGAAAGTGATGTGTCGTAAGCAAATGTAATGCTGCCAATAATACTAGATACTGGCTTGCTTTCTGCAGTGCTTTTTTTTGTTTGTGGGTTTTTTTTTTTTTTTTTTTTGGTTTTGTTTTTTGTTTTTTCTTTTTAAGCATCATAAAACTGCATAGTGTCAAAAAAAGTGGAATATTTCTTCCCAAGGTTGAAAGCACGGAGATATTCTTGGCATACTAAGTACCTTACCACTAAGCTCTTTTTCTTATGGGTTCCAGGTTATAAAATAAATGTTTTGTGGCTTATTTAGGATATAATGAAAGTTACTGTTTATCAAAATGGACAAAGTAGTTAGATATAAAACACAAAAACAAATTATTTGATATAGATTAGTGTTCACTTTGTATTTGCAGTGAAATTTTTGCCTCTAGATCGTTATTCTCCAATAATGCATCTCATCACAAAAATCTGGGGACTGTATCATTTATAGGTGTTTGTTAGTATCACTATTATAAACACTCAAGAAAAAAAAAATACTGCAATAGTAGGTCCCCACTCCTCTCACATTCACAATACATACAGAAAAAATGTGTTAGTGCTAATGCATTGCTGTTATTGAAAAAAAATCCTGATGATAAAGTCTTGCACAACAAACTACTTGAAATAAATTATTTGCCTTGCTGTACTTGCAGAAGTTTACTTGCAAAACAGTAAAATATTGGGGAAAGATTTGCTCTTTAAGATCAGGTATCAATGTTACCCCAAACCAAGAGATAGAGGTTTCACTTAAGAATTTAATAGAAGTAGCAAATACTTTGCTATCGATACCCTATTGTAGTGATGACGCATAGTGAAATAAATTCAGTTCCTTTTTACTCTCCTCTAGGAGACAATATTTATAAAACAAGCTGTTTCGCAGGAAACAAAACAATACAGAGCATATCCTGTTTGCGCAAGAAAATCATTCACAACTTATTTCTGACATAATATTTTGCAAAAATGTACAAAACTCAGTTACTTACCACAGAAAAATGTGACCCGTAACTTTCTCTACAGAAGACTGACATCTATAATCCACACAGATGTAAAAGGGAAATTTTCTCATGCACACATGTGCGTGTCAAACACTGGTTACTCTCTCCAATATATATCTTGCATGTACTCCTCACACTGCTGCTACTTCTCAGAGAAATTAGATGAAGTTTGTTTCATTTGAAATTAAGAACTAAAGGTATGAAAAGGAGAACCCTTTGGATAAAAGCCAATTATAAGGAGGAAATCAGTTACTATTCCTCCTTCACATCCGGCTGTCTCCAGGAACAGGTTCTGGCTATACGATAAAGTATAGAAAAAGAAGAGTCCCATGTGTTTTTTCAGAACACCTGCCATAAACAAAAAAATCCAGAAACCAATGAGAGTAGTGTGTTTGTGAGAAGGGGTGGACATCATGCTTTTTCAAAACATCTTTTCTGGAAAGTGCCTAAGCAGACAATCCCTTCAGCTTAGCTGCAAAGGAAGTTTGTTTTACTAGCTCAGAACATCTACCTTTTCACACACACAGAGGGAGGAAGCACTTCCAGACCCCAGAAGCATCCCCAACGCTACAGGCAGTTCACGATGCCCACACGTGAAGAGCACAGCAGCTGCGGGTGGACAGGGAGTTACAGCTAGTGCTGAGACCAAGAGCAAAGTTGTGCCAGGCCTGACGCACAGAGCACCTCAGAGCCACCATCAACTACAGGTGTAGAGCACAAGGCAATCTGTTTAAGGATGTCTGGAAGCTGGAATGAGTTAAACCATGCAAAAATCAAATCATAGCTGAGGGCACACATTTCTTGACAGAACCAAGACATCAGACAGAAAGTGACAAGCTGAATGGGTTTGGGACATAAAACTGGCATGGCAGAACAGCTGCGAATTAGAATTGTGACTTCACAGACTGCGAAGAATCTAAAAAGCATCAGGATTTAAATTGAGAAAGGCTCTCACCAAAAGGTCATGCTCGGGGAGAGTGACTAGAAAAAAAAGCTCCTTGACTAGCCTATAATGTACCTGTACACCTTAAAAGAAAGAGCAGGGAAAGTCCTCTTTGGGCAAGTGTCCTTCTAGACAGTCAGTGCAAAGGCAGATCAGACTACATGCATTTGGTCTTGGCGACCGCCAAACCATGAAATTGAGACCATCTTATGCCTGTTAATTTTATCAACTACCTTTTTGCAGTTTAAGGTCTCAGTTGTGTTATGCTAATCAGGATGAGTGCAACTCCTGTCATGTGACACATACAATTTGATTCAAGACATGTCTGAAGAGAAAATAATCAGTTCTAATAATGATTAGCAACTAAACAGAGCAAGACATATGGTAGAAAAGTGAGATGACAGCTCTGAGTTCTAACTCAAAAGTGATAAAAACAAATTACTGAAGAGGACTTTGTGCAATGGGTATGACAACATATATAAAGAGACGCTCAGTGCAGATATTCTGCATTTAGGGACTTCTCATAAGCATCTACCTTCCAGCAAGCTCCAGCGCAACATAACGCAGAAGCTTCAAGTATGCAGACGCTTCAAGAGCATGGGTCTGCCCAGGAAAATTACTACAGCAGTCRCGGTGTTTATCAGCAATGGCCCAAACACATGCAAGGAGATGGATATTATTCAACTTGCCTCAGTTCCTGAGCAGTCTAAATGGCAGAGCTATGGACATGCAAACATCGATCTCAGAGTGTTCTTACCGCTTCCAGCTCCTTTTGTGTTTCATCCTCCATTCTCCTAATGTCTTCCATAGTCAGATCAATCCACTTGTCAATCCAACAGAACAGCTGGCGATGAAAGTTGGTAAATATCCTTTTTTCTTGCTTTAAGAAGATAAATGAACATTAGATAACACGTCTACATTTTGCCAGACTGCTGAAGTGACTGCAATTATTCTATCTGAAGAGCTATAATCCTTAGGCAGGTATGTGCTGTTTCACAGTGCTACAGTTCAGTTTCTCCACATTCAAAGATCCTAATCAACATATAAACTGCCCAAACTACCACAATTGTCAGTTACATCTCAAAGTATTAGATTATACCTTACTTATAACTGGTAACTAAGCATTCAGTTCCAGCAAAATCAGAGTTAGTACAAACATTAAAAAAACCACTTTCATAAGAAAATTAGTTCCATAATACTAGAAAAACACTAGCACATCTTGTACACAACTACTAACCTGAGAAAAAACGATTCAGAGAATTCTCCTTCTGTAATACATTCTGGCTGGCATAGTCAAGGCTTAAATTTATATGACCGAATCATGGCTGCCATTTTCGCTTTTTTAGCTTAAAAAATTATTCTAGTACTGCCAACAAAACCCCATCACTGGCAGATACAAATAATTCTCATTGCTGAAGAAATGAAGTGACCTCAATTGTAAGCAACAAAAAACGTCCTCACCTCCCCTCTCCAAAAGCCCCATGCCAGAACAGAACCAGCCTGCCCAGATGGCCCCACCGCCCCCACGGATCCCACCCAGCAACACCCAGTTAGCGAGAAGCACTCACCTTTTGAATAAAGTTTTCAACTTTGTTCTGCAGTCCCCACCATTTAAACTTGATAGTCACCAACTTGTAAGCACACATCTTCGGACAGTCTTCATCAGTTGCTAACTCTTTCTGTTTATGGATAATTGGAAAAATTTGTTTTTTTTTAAACAGATTTCAGACAAATGTACTCGATAGGTTTATTGGAAATTATCACTCTAATTTTTAGTAAATGGTGCACTATACTTTGGAAACAAAGTGTACTACGGACTAACAAATATTGTTAGGCTAAATCTGTAAGAAATTCTATCCATGCTGTAGACATATGCTATAAATTTAAGTTTTAACATTGCTTTTAATTTCATGATTTACAAAGTCATACATTTTCTAGGTTTTCTTTGGGACAATGATGCTTAATTACAACAGCTGACACCAAATTACTTTATACTTTTGGACCTGTTGCCAAAACACAATTACAATTTGAGCTGCTATCTCATTACAATGTTGGAAAACACATACAGTGAAAAAAAACCAAAACTTAATGTCTCCCATTATCCCATCTCACTCTCACACAAGGCAAGGCTGGGGAGCTCTAGGTGACTGGGCCAGAAGTGTAGGGTTTTATCCAGAAGCAGAGGAAATTTCTGAACTAGAGTTACATTCTGTCTCTGGATAGACAAACAGCAGAACCAAGACTGTATAGACATATATAGATTGTGTACATATACCATATATATGGTACTACTAAACTCCAACTCAACATTATATAGTTCCTATGGAATATAATACCCCTCTATTGATATACAAGACACCTTAAACACTGACAATCAACTTGTCCCCATACAGTTAAAAGTTTTGATGCAAGGGAGACATTAAAAGACAATGAAAAATTGAGAGACAACTATGAAAAAAATAAAACAAAAACCTGCATTGAATATTCTCAATTAGTATACTCTCTTAGCACTCTGAGCTAAAGAATCACTGCTGCCTGGATGTGTGACAACAACTTACAGCACCAAACCTCTGCAGCATGGAAGTTATGAACAAAGCTCATGGTATTCTAGCACTCTGCTCACCTGCTTATTTTTGAAATGTTCATGCTCAAGTTTAACTAGAGAGTATTATTAAGGCAAACTTAGAGAAGGGTCTGGATCTCAATAGCAGCTGCTTCTGTGCAGGTCACTAACCAGTCACGCACGCCTCCCAGCACCCACAAGTCCCAGAAGTGGCAGAGCTTTCTGCCACAACACAAGCTTGAACACACTTGCTGACTCTCAGAAATCCACACATTTTCCTCTGGGAACATCAGCAGCCACCGAGTTACAGAGTGTCTTGTGCAAGCAGTCAGTACTTAAGTGCTCAGCTGTGCARTTGTTGCTGCTGAATTCCCACAGAGCCACCGCAGCGCTGCAGTGTCTGTGCGATTGGACTGTCACAGGATCAACCTTCATCATCTTGAAAAGACAATGTAAGGAACAGCTATAATAGCCCCAATTAGGTCAGCGGTATACAATGACTGCACCCTCAGGTCCAATTAAGACGAATTAAAGCATGTGGAGCACTCCAAACATAGTTTCACTAGTATTTCTTTTGACAATGCAGCTTGAGGGCAGAGATGTGCCAGCTTTAGCAGTCCACACCACTTCTGCTCCACTGATGCATCACACCTCAGTTGCTCTGTTACAGCTGCCTGCACGGCCACATCATTTCCCAAACCCTCACAAATTCAGCCTGCTGTCTCTTCCATGCGGCATTCAAAGCCCTGCACCAGCTCCTTGAGAAGGTTGGAAAGGCAGGTACAGCACTGAATGGTTAAGTGTTGGACAAGTGTCCCTGCAGCCAGAATCTCACTCCGCAGAGACACAAGAGCCATTAGGTCCTTAAATTCTAGGTGCCTCAATGTTATGATCTTAAATGAGCTGGTAGCTCTTACTACTCACTGTTTACTGGGCAAGGTGAAATAAAATAACACCATGATTTTCAGACCCTAGATTTTGCTTACATTGCTGTAAATGAAATGTTGTAATTACAATAATGGCAAATTGTGCATATTAACAGCTTCAAGATACCAGTTCCTTTTTTTAGGAATTCAATAAAGGAGGCTATACACAGCTGATCACTTTGACATGTTTATTTCTCTGATAACTATTTATTTGCAAAATTCAGTTTTATGCCAAAACAAGCCCAAAGCAGTATGAACTATAGGAACAGGCTGGTGCTTCTCAGTGCAGTCATTCATCTGAAAACCCAAGATCAACTCTTGTTGATAACTGCGCAGAATCACAGAAACTGCCCCAAAGGTTGCGATTAGTCTGAATGACTATCAGTGATAGCTGTGTCCTGGACAATGCCCACAGGAATATAGGCTAAAATTAGAGCACCATAAAGATCACTCATTCCTAACAGAGGGGAAAAAGAAACAGGTCCTTCTTGCCTGTATAACAGATTGGTTTAATTGTAGGGCAGGAAAGTTATGATGCACTGTAAAACAATTCTTGCATGTCTTCAGTGTTTCTGCTTCATCTTTTGAAGGCTTCTACAGATCTCTACAAATCAGAGCTGAAGCCATTGATGAAAATTATTTTGTGAAAGAGTATATTCTAACCAGTAACTAGGGACTCTAACCAGTAACTAGGGACTAACAACTGACAAATGGCCTCTATATTCACTCTGCTACACCGCAGTGAGTTTTTCTACAAAGAAATATGATGTAGTTGAGTATGTTTTGCTCTGTGCTGGAAATACACAGATGACTTCTGCTCACTGGGTAGGGAAGGAAATGCTGACAGGTTTTGCAGTGCTGCTCAGGTGTGGCTGAGTTTTAGTTGGAGTACACTGATCTACAGCAACCTTGCATCTAAATTTCAGTGCTGTTTCAAGGCTCAGGAAAGAGATTTTAGGAGAATTTATTTCAAGATAAGATCATCTCTATGTCTGTGGCAAATATCTTAGGCTAAACTGTCAGGAGAACTATTTAGTGGGTAGTAAGAAATTATGAAAATGATGTAAGGGTGTCATTGACATCTGGATCAGTACTTACTGTGTTGCCTACTAAACATCATTCTTAAAACATGATTTTCCTGTAGCTCAATATGCAAACACAGCAAGTTTATACTGGGTGTGATTTTAAGTGGTATGACAGTCATATTGATGACCAATAATGTAAAGTTGTTTATGTAGAAAGGAAGCACTAATGCAGAATATCTTTTGCAAAATTTAATATCCCTTTAAAATAGACTTCCCACACTATCCATTAACAGTAGTATGAAAATCTAGCACAGTGCATCTTGGTCGGATTTGACAGGGGGAGAGAAGGGAAGAGAAAAGCAGGTGATGTTAAGCAAGAAGCATGCACTTTAAGAAAATTTATTGTAGAAAGGCTTGGGTAACTGCAGTCATGAAAAAAAAGTGGTGGTTTTACCTTAAAACAAAAGTTTTGGGTCATTTTCCCATGGTTACAGAGAAGCTACTTAAAGAAAGTTACTAAGTGATGAAAGAGCATGGAAAGGTAATTCCCAAATCAACCCAGATTACGTATCTCAAGCTAAGAATTAAGATTATGGTGGATGCATTTGTGCATGCACACATACACACAGTGCATTATCTTACAAAAGTAAAATAATTTACTTATGATGAAATGTTGTAGGTTGTACATTACACATATACCACACAAAAAAATAAAATTAGGTGTTCAATAGGACAAAGTAAAGATGGCCTGATATTTGTTACTAAATTCTGCTAGTTTTTGATCATCCTAGATAAAACATACATATGGAGGATCCTTTACTTGGCTGTAAGAAATACAGCTATAATCATTTCAATATAAGGAAGATTCCAATTAGTTTTTTTGCATTTTAATTTACCTCCAACCACTAATAGTCTGATGGCTCACGGAATTTATTGTAGTGCATATGCAATTTTGAATCTTCACTAAGGATAACATCCATCTCATTTGATTTGTATAGCTTTTATTGCATTTTTTTAAACTTGCTCTTCAACTAAATTGTTTTATTTGTAATAGTAATATTAAGCAACTTTATGTACTAACACAATCAGAATGTGCAGAGTACCACTAGTACTAGTCTCTAAGGCACTGTGAGCAGTTTTTTTTAAACCAACTCAGACATTGTAAGGTTATAAAGTCAGGTCTTAGTACCTTCCAATTTGGCCCCAAAGGTCCTCTCTTGGTCTTAACAGACTGGAATAATGCAGGGTCTTCATCATCTTTGTAGTCCTATAATACAAAAAGGAATTGAGAGTCAGAAAAAATGCATTCACGTCTCATTTTATAAATAAGTCTTAACAAGGACAAAAGAACAAAAAGAAAGAAAGAGGTATGCCACCAAAAAGCAGCACCTGGCATTTTCTCCACTCCTGCGTCAGAGAGTTGCCACAAGGAATCACAGTTGTAAACTGCTTCACAGATGAACTAGAACTACGCATTTACCTTCCTAATGGATCCCCTGTATTCCAACTGAAATACTGCGAGTCTCAAGACAAAAATGATGGAACAAATGGGTTTCTGAATACTACAACTGAAATATCTGTATTTTGTGTGAGGTCACTGAAAGCATCCAATTACATCTCGATTGCAGAAGTGTCGTGGCTTGAAGAACTAGTTTTTCTAGACAACTGAATTATAAAGTTTCTGTAGACAAAGGCATGAACATAAGCTTACTTAAACCCCAGCAGGGTAACATTACAGAACAGGAATTGTCAGATTGGGCTACACCTGGTCTATTCTAACCCAATATTCTGTCTCAATGGCCAGCAACAGATGCTTCATGGAGGATACAAATAATCCACTGACACAGCCACCAACCCAGGGAGTAAACTGTTTGGCCTTCAGCACTGGTTCTTCCTAGAAAGGGTGTAAACTTCTCAGTGATTCAGGTTCGTGTTAACTAGGTGTTTCTTTCCATCTTCACTCTTGGCCTCAGCTGCACCCTGTGGTAATTAGTGACTAATGAATTATGAACTGTGCAAAAGTATCCCTCTCCCCCACTGTTTCAAACTGCTTGGTATATATTTTTTTCATTTCATTGGCTTCCCTATTATTCTTATATTGAAATGGAAAAACTGAACTTTTTTTTTTTTTTTTTTATTTCCTCCCCACAATGATTATCTTTATTGACTGGAAAAATCCCACACAAATCTGAGTACAAAAAGCCATACAGAAAAACCCTCTCGCCAGCTTTCCTCAGTCCTCCCAGGACAGCCCCATTTCTGTATCTTTTATGTGCAGCTCACGTCAGTTGAGGAAATGGTGCTATATCATATACAGTACAGGAACTGTTACAGTAGTCTAGTCTTTAAGCTGGCCTAAGAATCAAAGATCATGTTTAACACATGACAGTTTTCAAATTCAGATTCTTTTAGCATGAAGAAAGGAAGGCTGCTTCTAAATTGAAATTCCAAATCCACAGATCCAGCCTATTCAAATTATAGCTGACCTGCAATATTTAAATCATTACTTACTAGTGCTTTCACAACCATTTTGACATCTACAAGGAACTGGAAAATCCAGGAAGTCTTGTCAAATGAACCTGAAATCATTTACAGAAACTCTGCTCTTATTCCCTAATCTTTTCTTATCCCCAGTTTTTTCATGGTACTCTCGCCTCTTTAACTGCACCTATCTACACAACGCTTTAAAACAGACTGAATAAATTGTTTTTAAGATTTTTGTCATCCATTATGAAACTAACATAACTAGAAAGCACTAATAGGTATCTAGATACATAGATAAAACTTTTATATATTAAGCATTCAAATATATATAAAGAACTAAGTAAATATTTTCAAAAACAAGAACCAGTCATCTCTAAGCATCTAAGCATCTCTATCAGATGCACCCTGACACTCTTCAATACTCATAAATCTCACATTAAATTTATAGCCAGCCCAATCAAGAGCTACTTCTCTTCAAAATTTAAGGTTTTTGTTTTAGGCTGGGGGAAATGAGGAAGCGATAGTAAGAGTTAAAATTAATGCCTATATGAACACACTAGTGAATGCCTATATGCACACACTAGTGAAAAAGCAGCGCGGCAGCCGCTTGTCGGCAGCACACAGGCCTGGGGCAACCGTCCTGCCAGACGGGAAAAAACATTTGCAAATCTGCACTGAAAGGAAACCAAACCGTGCTCCAAGAACTGTGCAACTGTGCCTGGCACAGGGACCCCGAGGCTGCCGCTGGGCTCCAACGCTCCGGTGGAGCTCTACAGCTCCCTAGGGAGGCCACCCTAGAGCATCCTTGAGAGGAGGACGACACAACCCGGCCTCTTTCTCTACTACGGAGTTCTGTGCAGGGAATTCTCTACATAATCGAGGAGAAGAGAGCGCCCCAAACACAGCTCATTGTGGGATGTAGCATCGAAACCCTCGTGTAGTAATTGAAGTCCTTTGATTTAATGACTGTCTCAAATTATCTGTAACCCATGCCTTTCACGTAGACAAAAAACACACTTTAATAGTGGATGCTATACTTTAGGAGTGTTCTGATCCATGAAACAACCTGGATGGCATTAAGACATGGAAGCACCAAAAGCATTCGAAGATAGAAAGCATAATACAATATTACAGAGACAGGGAACATTTTTTAACCATAATAAATAACTACAGTTTTATAAATCTGAGTGGTAAAAAGCTATTTGTTGAAAGTAGGCATTAAACAAGCAATTTTTTTTCCATAACATTAACCTTAATAATTTCATAAAATAATCCAGACTTATCACTAAATATTTTTATAATGAAATGCACACTTGGCTGGGTGCTTTTATGCAGCACTAGCTACTAAATAAATGATAAAAATGCCTCAAGCATAGCTGATAGTCTAAGGTTACAGTGAACACTTGTTCTTTTGAGATGTTTTATTTAGCATCAAGTACCATGATCTATATTTTTACAGAGATGTCAGTGACATCAGCTGTATTTTCATCAGGTTAGCATATGTTAACATACTTGTTTTAAAACCCTACAATCAGCAGCTGAATCTGTGCTAGGAAGAGCTCAAGGTCAACCCACCATATTGCCTTCAGCACAGTTACTACTGCTCAAAACAAGTGAGCGCTTGGGCTACAACTACTGAATCCTCTCATGAACAGTAGGCTGGTTTTCCAAGGACTGAATTTCACCTAACAAATGTCTCCCCGATAGAAAAACAATCAAGTTTTCATGGAGAAATGCACCTACCGCAAAATGATAAACCGCTACCGTTTAGGATTAAACAAATGTGATGAGCAAACCACGTGGAATCGCAGTGCACAGGTCTGAGCTGCAGACCTTATAAAGCAGGGGCTTTTGGTGATGCTTGTTCCTCCCCTTCGAGGACCCTGAACGCGGCTGCTGCCTGGGGGTTATCGCTCCCTATCCCGTGCAGCAATGGCGGGATGCTCACCCTCCCCAGCGCCAGCACTGATTGCTGCCCGCGCTCGAGTGACGAGGCCGGTAACAACTGCTAAGATTGCAGAGCACACATGCATTTACGAGGGGAAGTCACCTGAACGCGGGCTGCAAGCTTTGTGCTAGCTGCTATACCCCTACCTTGCACTACTCACTCCGAAAGACCCCGGCCCCTTCCCTTAAACCTCAGTGCCCTGCGGGGCCGCCTCGGGGCCGCCGCAAAGGTCTGCACGGAAACGCCCTGTGGCTGCAAATACTGAAGTGCAACTGAGCAACTTGACTTTGTGAGCACCACAGCGCGAAACCTAATGAAAGCAAAACAAAAATCTTATAAGTCAACAGGGTTCTTTAAAAGTAGTTAAACAGGCTTTACAAAACAAGCCTTTAACTCCAACAGAAAGACAGCTTCTATATTCAGCACAAGGCACACAGCACACAAGTGGTCTTGCCAAACGATTAATGTGATACATACTTGACAATTCAACATTTGCATTGCAATCTCCTTCCTGAAAGGATTAAAAAACAAAACAGGAATACCAACAAGTATCATTACCTCCAGGTGATAGGTTATTTATCCAAAATATGCCAAAAAGCCTGTATTTAAAATTGTGTAATTCACACAAAAACAATAAAAGAACAAAAAAAGCAACAAAAACCCACAACACTGTGGATCCTCATACATGTGTATTACAGCATACATACATACAGCAYGTGTATACCATACAAGACTACAGATGTGGTGCAAATGTTCAAGTACACCGTGCTAAGACAACTAAAGTAAGAACTCGTCTGATAAATGCAATCTTTACTTCAGCTTTTAAACTGGCTTACACATGCAACGGTGGTATTTAGTCAAATAATATCACAACATAAAGTAATACTAGCCCACTAGTCTACAATATCTGACAAAATTTGCCATCCTACCTCTCACCACACAAGAACATGGTTAAAATCAACCGTGCTCCTGTCTTTAGACAAGCTCAGCTGGAAACACTAGAAATGCATATTATTTACAAGCAAAATCTTGCAGTGAAAACAAAAATCCAAAGGATATATACAGGGCATAACATCATTTCCTATGCTAGCAACTATATACAGGAGCTTTGAACCAAGACATTTCCATACTCACTTAAACCAGGTTTTGTTAAGGACAGAAGGGGGAGAAAAAGAAAAGTCTAGATTAAAGTCTAGACGGACAAGAGCCTATTGTAAGAATTTGTCTCAATGCATAAAGCCTGCAGCATGCACAGAAGGAGACTGGACTAAAGCCAGAGCACAAATAAACAACAGTTCTTTGCAGAGTTTAAGGAAAATATCTGTGTAGCAAGAGCCTAACTCCGGACAGCAACAAGTCCTTCTTAGGAAGAAAAGTCAACATTGGAACAAGTAGAACAGCTACAAAATCCTGAAGCCCTTTTGAAAGCAGGACAAACAAAACATTACTTTGTAGCAAAGTAACAATGTGGAGTCAAAAACATCTCACAGAAATACACAGATATTGTTTCATTGCTTCAGGCACTTTCTGAAAAAATAAAATCAGTATCCTGTGCATGAATGCAACAAACCTATGTAGCTAGTTTTTTAGCAAGCTATAATAGTAAATTAGAGAGATTAGGAATCCAAGGATTTAAAAAGATTAAGAACCATGTATGATAAACCAATGATCATAACAAAGTTAGTCTAGGCGCTATTAGACGATTTTTTGCTGAGTGAGAAAGCTACTGCAGCCCTGCAATGCAGACTAGAAGTTAGGYCAAGACATCTCAACGGATCAGGACTAACAACGTTACAGAGGTGATACAGCCCCTTCCCACCGTGAGACCTGCTAGCGCAGCAAGTCCTGCTGATAGCTCGTTGTTCATTCTCCCCGGCACTGTCCAACTTGACAGCACATACACAGGCCAGAATGCTTTCAAGAAAGCTTTCGACCAGCTCAAGAAATGACACAGGTCTGGGTTCTTATCTGCAGAGTCACAACAAAAACTTCTTCAGTAATATAGAACTGACCGGGCAGGCACGCAGTTTCTGACTTTCCTATTCAATCTTTAACTGGCAGAGTGCAGATAGCAGTGTTGTTTAGTAGACACTACCTATTGTCAATTGTGGAAAAACAGACAAACAAATAGAACTCTACATACCAGCACGTTTCACTTATATGACCCAAAGTAAACATGCAAAGTAAATACCCCCAGCTCTGTGCACGATTCCAAGTCTCGTAACTGAAGTCTACTTCCCGCGTCCTGATGTGCAAGTAAAACATCCACGTATTCCAGGGCATTTAAATACGTCAGCTTGCTCTTATAACAAACATTTTATTACCAGTTCCTGAAGAGCCTTACAGCTAAAGGCCTGCTGTCAGGTTAACTATCACCTGACCTCACCTTTAAAACAAGGCACAAGTACAAAAGAAATTAAGATCAGCTCTCTTAAATTAGCACAGAAATAAAACTGCAATACTATTCTTTATACTAGAAGTTAGTTTCCATGGAAGAGACTTTTTTTATTACGCAATCTGGAAGAAAAGTAGGTACCCTAAAAAAAAAAATAGCTACAAAAAATGGTAATAGATAAGTACTTATAATAAATAGGTAATTATAACAAATGTAAAGGAATTACAATTTTCATCAGTGGAATAATCATAGAATCATAGAATGCTTAAGGTTGGAAGGGACCTCAGAGGTCATCTAGTCCAACCCCCCTGCTCACGCAGGGTCACCTATAATAATAATACAAAGTTTCAGCACACCACTATTTCTCTATGCAATATACAATTAAAAAGCAAGCAAGCTGAAGGTGTGCATCCTCACGACGAAACACAGCTTTTCAGAAGGCCTTGCGTCTACTGTCACGCTCTAAGCAAGCTAACATAGGATCTCCATGAACTCTTGGTTAAAGCGGCTGCCTTATGAATCTATGTCTATGCTCCATACAAAACTTCACTGAGTAACCATGTACTTTTACTGATAAAACCTCTTTGTCCTTAAGTTTTTGCTTCTTATACAAAGACAGCAAACTAAGCTCTCAAGGAACGAATCACAGGTGCCTAAGGACAGATGCTGGGTGTATGCAAGACACTTCTGTTCACCAAAATAATCATTAAAAAGTAAATCAAACATGCTAAATCAAAGTGGGTTTGTCAACAGCATTTTAGAAGAAATGAAAAGAATGATCTATTGTGAACGATTCTCCTCAACAAAGTTTTAAAGGAAAAAACACTTCTCTTGGACTTCAATGGCAAAACCTGATGGTTCSTACTGGGACTACCCTAATTCTATAGCAATGGACAAGCAAAAGAGCAGAACAGTTTAAATAATTTTTTACCAAGAAGTAGCACCAGGAGCACAGGAATAGACTGGTGAAAATACTGTGCTGTATCTTGAAGTACCAGCTGGGATAGATTCTTGCTCTTGATCTCACACAGCAACATGAACACACAAATACTTGCTTGATCAAATCAATTACTTTATCTACAATTAAGGTAAAAGCTGCACCTGTGCCAAAAGTCCGTCACCCTTGAAATAAAACTAAAACTCAGTAAATGAAAGTTACAAAAGCATTTACTGAATAGCTTCTGTTCAAGACAATTTTCATTTATCATTTTGGATAAAACCTACTGCATTTTTAGTTTATTCACAATCACCAGAAAGCATCAATGTACATATTAGCTGCATGTTAAAACTAGATCCCAGCAGCTGAGCATTTACTTACTCCTGGTTCTACTTGAGTTCTATCTGCAATGTCAATATGGACAACTTCAACGCTCTTCCACGTGTTTGGATCCAAATTGTGCACCTGCGAAGGAGAAAGACGAAAGATCTTTGCAACGTCATCTTATCAGAGTGGATGCAGTACGTATAAATGTCACAATTTTTTTTTCCTCGACTTCAGAGACTACAGTCTGAAAACCTCCCCTTTCTCCTTCCAACCTCTTAAAACCTCTAAAGCTACGGTTTAGTTCATTCACTAACCAATTTTAAAAATTTTAAATTAGCGGATTCATTAAACCTCCAGCTATTTTGGACTCAAGATTTAAGATCAAGCTGTATTCTTCTATCACATTCATGACAGCTGGTGAGATCAACCACCACTTAGAAACATTACTTATTCAATAAAAGACAACCTTTTTGATTTAAAAGTAAGCCTGCACAAATTCTGCAGCACAGATAACGGCAGGTTTCAATACCTTGACTAAATCTAGTTAGCTCCTTGAATCATAGGCCTGCCACATTTTGAATCTGGCTAAAGAACTCACGTTTTCTGATGTGCCCAGATCTGGTTTATGCCAGGTCTCAATTTTAATGAAGAAGTCATCTTTCATGTACTCGTTCTGTAAGAATTAAAATCAAACAGCGGGAGTTCAATTACTTCCTCTTTGCTTAACAGTTAGATAAATAGTGTGACACACACACACACAGTCACAAGTAAGCCTTGATTAGCAATATTTTCCTGTTTAAAAGCTAAAAAGACACAGTCTGCTTCCCTCACATAGAAATAAGCACAGTGCAATAACTCATATCTAAATCTGAGATATCATTATAGCATTAAGTAGTGGTTTAAAACCATAGTCATATTTAAGAAACACTACTCCAACATGCATACATAAAAATAGAAATAAGAATACTTTCTCAATGGCATCTCCCTTTCTCAACCCTGAAATTCTTTATCTCTATGTTTAAGTTCTCAAATGATTAGTAATACAGTAAAGCTAAAGCAACTGCAGATATATTTCCATAAAACTTTTAATAGAGACTGCATTCAGAGAAGCAGAAATGACAGGTAATGAGCATTACAAATTATTATATAGCATGATGAAGATCATAAAGGTCCAACCACCTCTGAACTGTCTGTGTAGAGAGTAACACAGAAGAACATTTCTATCCTCCGAAATGAGAAAGTAAATGCACAAGTGCATCATGAGGAGTCAGACTAAACACAGTTCACCAACTGATTCACAGCTCCTTATGCTGTGTCCATGAGGTGGCTATCTAAATCATGTGTGAAAGTGAGTAGATAAAGGAATTTAGGGTTAAATTGACCAAGATCCTTAAACAGATGAATGTCTTCATGTACTCCTTGCCAGCCGTATGCAAAAAATCCTAACTGTATGCTTGGACTAACCCATTTTAAAGCCAAGCAGGATTTCACTTTACAGAAGTAGGACTTTAGAAATGTAGAGACTGATTGTATTTCCACTATTCCTCTTAATTCAAGATTCTGTCAAAACCTCTGATTTGGCTTTTCTTTGTATTATGTCACACCAGGACTTACATTCTACAGCTGTACTGGTAAGTAAAGAAACAAAAAAAAAAAGATGTAGCAAGTGAAAGCTTTTTTTTTTCCTGACAAATTACAGTTATTTCTAATTACAGCAAAGTAGCAGACAAACATAGGAACAGGGAGCTCCATGCCAGAAATTCTGGCGAGACATATGTAAAAGCTCGGAGCTAGCTTGCTAGAGTCAAAGAGTCAATTCTAACAGCAATAACAGATTCAAAACAATTTTCAAAACCAACAACATAGGACTGATAGTAATTCAAATACTCACTGTCACAACTGGTCAATTGAATCACACGCAATGAAAAAGAAACAGAAAAATTATTAGATATAATAGTTTCTGACAAGTCTTATATAAAGTTTACTTTAAATGATAAGAAACATTGAAAAATAGTCTAACAGCATTTGTGTGCAAGTCAGCACACAAATCAAGTCAGCAAAATTCTATGGAATACAGTCTGCTAGCGTAAGCTTTAGAAGTTCCTTATGCAATACTTCAGACTCTTCAAAGATAAACCAAAGTAGAAGACCATACTCTCAGAAACTATGCAATTAAATGTATTAAAGCATCCACAATATTCTAACAAACCATGAGGTATCAAACACCTTCCTTTCAAGCAGTATCCGTATTTGGAGAAACAGTCAGCTCTTCAGTCTTATTTTGGGAACACTAAAAACAATAAAGCTACGCATGAACCAGTAAACTGGTTGGCAGGTTTCCTTTTCTAAAGCAGATACTTTCAGAATAGGAGAGCTCACAAAAGCAACATTAAAATTTGAAAAATATTTACCACTTGATGGCCCTCACTTTCACCTTAAACCATTAGAGAGTTTCTCTTAATAAAGCAGTGAAAATACGGTATGGGATGCAGGACATGCTTACTTGTTCTACAGTATGGATATGCATTCCAAGCCTTCTCATGAAACACCAAGGAGCCTTCTGGAGCAATCATCCTTACAAATCCAGGAACCTTACTGTAAAAAAGAAACATCATTCACATTTGTTAAATTTTTGCCAAGAGAAGATCCTCACTGATTTTTTTTTTCTTTTCATTCTAGTAAGATGCATGTATTTTACTCAAAGTTTTTAAAGAAATATGATGTACAAGTACCCTATAGTTAAATAGGCAGAAACTCCAGCATGTTACTGTTCCCAAAGTAATTAAAAGAAAATTAGAGAACCTAATCACAAAGTAATTAAGAGCAAGTTAGAAACCATTTTGGAAGCACTATGAACACAATGGAAGATGTGCTATCTACACCTTCTTTCCTTAAGCATATTGAAAGCGACTGCTGAGAGCTGGCACTAGCCAAGAGATCTCGTCTCCAAAGCCTCCAGCAAAACAGCAATCGAGCAGAGCAGGCAGCAGCTCCGCTCCCGCTCATGGGAGCACTCACACACACCTCACAAGCTACAGTGGTAGAAACAAGACAAGGTACCTCCAAGGATAGTAAAGGTTCCCCCTTCACTGTTAAACATTTCCCGGTCAAAACCAACCCAACATAACATGGATCAATACTTTTCTCACCTCTTTAAATGATAGATTTTGTGGGTATATTGGCCCTTTTCGTCATCCTTTTCATAAGGCTCATTTTTTAAGACTTGAATTCCTTCACCACCTCCTGTTTCATTTTTACTAGCTTCTGCCACAGAATAAAGTTGACCGACTTGATACTGAAAGGTTAAAAGAGGCAAAATTTCAACACTGAAATTAGACAAAACATTCAACATGCACAGAATTTACACACTCCCAATGAAAACCTGGTAGTGAATAAAGATGATTAGGAAAGAAAAGTAACATTCTATAAAGAGTATTAGGAAAATATGACAAAATATGGCAAACTACTTTGGTGGTTTGCCAGAATCAGATCTGTACACAACCTATTTCATATTAACATAGCACAATAAGAACAAAACTGTAGCAGAAAGGAGGTGTAACATTTTCTCTCAGAACTGTACTTGGATATCTGAGAGGGAGTTTCTGTACAATTTCAATTTTTGGTTTTAGATCCTGGAAGATGGTCCCTACCGTCCTGAAGTTCCTCAATGCCTTGATCAGCAGGACAGCGCCGCTCCAGCGCAGAGCAGCTCAATTCCCTTTTCTTTCTCATAGGCCACAGAGCGGCTCACAAACAGCTACAGATTCTTGCCCTGAAGGCGCCTGGCCCTTTGGAAACTCACTGATGTGCGAGAGCTTCGTTCTGCCTGGCTGGCAGGTTACACGTGTGGGGAGAGACAGATGCGCAGCAAAGGGAACATTTGGATCCAGGCTAGTCACCAAGCTCTGCCCATCCACCCCCCAGATAGCAGCGGGTAGGATGAGGACCTACCTCTTGCACTGAGCACGGTAAGACCACTCGGCTGAAAGAGCAAGAGAGCAAAATCAGTCAAGTTAAACAATAATCGCGTCCCATCTCTTCTGGCATCTGTATCTACAGATACCAATGGTAATAAAGAAGCATTAAAAGAAGCACTGTAATAAAGGAAGTATTAAAAACAGTTAACTCAAATTTTCTCTGCATAAATACCTCACACAGTAAAGCTGCATGGATATGAAGTAACAAACCCAAGTAAAATCCCATGCAAGATGTTTTACAAACAGGGACAGAAAAGGAGATTAATAATGTTAGAAGCAGCAGCAGAAGAGCCATAAATCCTAGAACTTAYTCCCAGCTCTGCCATAACTTTGCATTACACTGAAAACATTTAAACTTTGAGGTCTTAGTTTTTTTTCCTCTTTTGTTAGAAACAGCCCTGTACATACAGTTTAAAAAAGGACAAACGCACAGGCCCTGAGAGCCTACAAATGAATGTTGGCAATTACTGCAGTTATTAATCACTTAGCAGAACAACCAGAGCTCAATCCACATTTAGGTGGCAGAAGCAGGTGCATTTAGGCACAATGTAAATACCTGCACAGCTAACATCAGTGTCAGCAGATGCAAAAGTTAATGTTTCACAGCAAAAGGGTACTTAGACACCTAAGTTTTGCTTCAACTGGTATAATAAAATAGGCAAAGATAATGCAAATTATTACTGTTGCAAAACATCTTTAAAAATTTTAATACTGCAGTCAGCGCTCAACTCTGAACAGTCACCATTAAAACAATACTGAGCCCTCTGAATTCATTTTCTTTTTCAATGCAGGAATCATCTGCACATAACCAYATAGATTAGTTTTATGAGGAACAAATTACTGCTTTAAGTTGATGTTAACTCATTAACTAAGAGACTGACCATTAAGATTCAATGCTTCTACCTAACACTGAAATATCTATGTATTTCCATAGAGATAGATAAACAATTTTAAGCTAAACTTATCTAGAAGGCTAGCTTGTCCAGCGACAAAGAGGAGAAGTGTTATAGCTCATTTTCAGCATATTCAGCTTTCGCTGCTCTCAGCACTTTGCGGGAGGGCAGGTTTAAATAAAAGGGTTTCTATTTTGCTCCTGTCCAGCAAGGTGCTGGGCACCTAGCAGCCCCCAGGCAGAAGGGGCTGCACTGCTGYCGAGCGTCACCGCCGTCCAGCGCAGATGGTCTGAAATCCACCTCCTCCTAGAGTCCCCTGACAGCTTCCCTTCTCTCACTGCGTAAAAGCTTTTACTTTAATACATCTGTGTCTCATTGGAACAACTTTAAACTACAAAAATACTTTAGAGAGAAGCTGCAAAAACATCTGCCTTTGCAAATGTGAAATCATGGCAAGTTTCAAGCCAAATGGAGAGCTTGCATAAAGCACAGAAAGGGCAAAAGGCAACAAATCCAGCTCCCGCGGCGGGCCCAGCTCTGTGGCGCAAAGCCCCAAGCTGCTCCTAAAGCCGCCCGGTTGGGAGGCACAAACCCCCGGTCCTGGCGGAGGAGCTGCTGCCTCAGAGCCAGAGGAACCTTTACGGCCTGCGGGACGCGGGAACGTCCAGTGCAGTGACACACACCGGACCGAGGAACAGAGCCGCGCGCAGGAGCGGGGCCAACGCGGGCGCGCGGGGAGGCGGAGGGCGAGAAGGGGCCGCCCGGCGCGGGCTGTGGCGGCGGCAGGAGGGGGACGCGGGACAGAGCGCGGGGCTGGGCCGCCCCTCGCGG